GTTCATGGTCCCTCTTTCCTCAACCGGAGCGAAATAACACGATTCAATTCAATTTAATTGGAGCAACCAAGAAAAAACAGCAGCAACTAATTTCAAACGAAAAAGATAAGACTTTGGATTGGACACATTCCCGCTGATACTCTTGCTATCCAAGTTCCTATTAATCACCAGGGCCCTTCCAAATGCATATCAGAATCAGACATCACATGAAGTTTTATCCTTTCCATTTCATCTTTTACGTAAAGCCTTATCTCCTAAATCTCTCGTTTCATATCTGAGGGAAAGTTTTCAAGTTTCACAATACTACACCATAGTACCATACCAACAAAAACTGACATAGCTACATATTCAGAAACGAAGTAAAGGACGAACATTTCAACACTAGAAGATCAGCACCTTCAATCCAGGAACATAGTCTCCACGCTTGAAATAGGCCGGAGACTTAGCTGCCCTCCATTCAGCCGTTCCCATCCCGTCTGCATCACCAAATCATCCAATCAACAAAACCAAACCAGAGCCAAACATCACTCTTTCAAAACTCCATCAAAACAGAACATAAAATGCTCACAATGATTATTCTCGCAGACCAGAATCGCAGGCAAGTCCCAAAGCGCCGCGATATTCAAAGCCTCGAACAACTGTCCCTGATTCGCAGCACCGTCACCATACAAAGTAAAAGTCACAGCTTCATCCTTGGAGTACTTCTGCGCGAAGGCCAGACCACACCCAAGCGGAATCTGAGCCCCGACGATTCCGTGACCACCGTAAAAGCCCGCGTCCTTCTTGTAGAAATGCATAGATCCTCCTTTTCCGTTGGAACAACCCGCCTTTCTTCCCATAAGCTCGGAGAACGCCTCTACGAGCGAGCCGCCACGGCCTAAGAACGTGCAGTGGTCTCGATACGAAGTAATAATGGCGTCCTGCTTGGTAATCGCCGCCTCCATTCCGATCGCGACGGCTTCTTGCCCATCGTACAAATGGCAGAACCCACGGATCAGCTTCGCCTTGTAGAGCGAATCGGCGGCGATCTCCATCCGTCGCATCACGACCATGTCGCGGTAGAACGAGAGGAGCTCCTTCGGGGAGGTCTCGACGGCGCGTGACGGTGGCTCCACGAGATGCGCCGTGAAGGGTAACGAGATATCGATAGTCATCGGCGACGTGTCCGTGGAGATCGTCCGGCGGAGCAAGACGGCCGCCGCCGCAGATCGGAGAAGACCGTTGGATCGAGACGAAAGGCGTGATAGGGCCATCTCCGCCGTTGAATTCCGGTGGCTTTTGCGCAGTCAAGAAATTGGGTTTGGTGAGGGACAGACCGAAGGTAAATGAATATATATTTATACAAAATGTCAATATTTTAAAGGTATTTTGGTGTACGCAAAGTGACGTTCCGAATTTTATTTAATATACAAAACATATAATTATTACATGATAATAATAAAAATTATTTCTTAACGGGCTATTAAAATATCGTTTTATCATTTTCTTTTCAGCAACAACTGGATAAATGGAAAATATCTTCCAGGAAGGAAAAATGAAAGAGAGTCATTTATTTATTTATTGGTATAATATCCAAAAAAAAAATTGGAACCATTCCGCCATGAACGCTCTGCCCGTGGTCTCGCTCTCGGCAGCTTCTTCGCTCAAAGTGTTGCCATTTCCGTCCATTCTCCACCGCTCTCTCTCTCATTCGCCAGGATGTTGCTTTCTGAGATCTCTCCTCCGCCGGACTTTGCCGCGTATCTCCTTCCCGCGCTCGAGTTTTCTTTCGCCGGCACAGCCTCAGCTCTCGGGCGAGGAGTACGAAGAGGTGGAGGAGGAGGAGGACGAGGAGGAGGAGGAAGGAGAGGATGAAGACGGTGATGATGAAGCTGCGGATGAGTACGATGACATTTCCGGTGAATTTTCCGAGGAAGTCCCGCAGAGCGACGATGAAGCCGAGCTGTCGGCGGATTTGCCGGCGGAATCGGCTCGGCTGCGCGTGGAGTTGAAGTGGCAGAGAGTGGAGAAGCTCCGTAGCCTTGTTCGGGATTTCGGCGTGGAGATGATTGATATTGATGAGCTCGCGTCCCTCTATGATTTTCGTATCGATAAATTTCAGGTCTTTTTCCTCGAACTCTGAATTTGATTGGAGATTTCAGTTGTGCTTCTATCGATCCTGCGTTTACGTTGTCTGACGTTCTGATATATGGAACTTTGTCGTTTGTGTTAGAGATTGGCTGTAGAAGCTTTCTTGAGAGGGTCTTCTGTCGTGGTCTCTGCTCCGACAAGCAGTGGAAAGACATTGATAGCTGAAGCAGCAGCTGTTGCCACAGTTGCCCGAGGCCGGCGTTTGTTCTACACGACACCGCTAAAAGCACTATCTAACCAGAAGTTCCGCGAGTTTAGGTACTGCTTGCTCCCATGGATTCACGGGAAGTCTGGTGTTCTCTTGAAATGTCTCACGTTAGCAACATTGCTCGAATAGTTGTAAAGGAAGAAGGGAGTTATGGTTGTTGATTTCAGTTGTTGTTTCTTTGTTTTTCTAGGGAGACATTTGGCGATGATAATGTTGGTCTGCTCACAGGTGATACCGCCATCAACAAGGAAGCTCAGATTGTTATCATGACTACAGAGATTCTGCGAAACATGTTATATAATAGGTATTCATATTTGGGCATTATAAAGTATAAAGCTTTGCGTGTTTGGTCTCTTAAGGAGATGGCGGAAAATTGTCTTTTTGTTCAGTGTTGGAATGGCTTCTTCTGGGGCTGGTCTTTTCCATGTTGATGCAATTGTTCTGGATGAAGTTCATTATTTAAGTGACATATCTAGGGGGACTGTGTGGGAAGAGATAGTGAGTTCTTCTGTTCCCTTTCTTCAAACAGCCTCCCCTGTTTCGAAACCTGTATTAATGAAGCCTCTCAGTTGGATTTTTTTTTGTTGATACGTTCAGGTCATTTATTCTCCAAAGGAGGTTCAACTTATATGCCTATCAGCCACAGTTGCGAACCCTGACGAGTTATCTGGTTGGATTGGTCAGGTGTGGCTTGGCTAACTTATTGTGCTATGACTACTCTGTGGTGTTCTGTCATTATGTTCCTATCATAAGTGGCTAATGAAATGTACCTTCACCTATCAATCAGCGTCTCATTTCCTTACTTCTTCAAATAGCTTCTGTACTGGTTTGCTTATTACGTTCTCAGTGTCTTGTTAACAATACTATTACTATGCTACTGATTCTTAGTTGTGCTAGTGGCGTAGTTTCTAAGATGTGTTATTTGCAACGTCTTTTCATTCAGATACATGGCAAGACTGAGTTGGTAACATCGTCAAGACGTCCTGTTCCACTAACTTGGTACTTCTCAACGAAGCATTCTCTATTACCATTACTCGATGAGAAAGGGACACGCATGAATAGGTACTCTGTCTATTCCTCAGTTTTCTGACAGTTTGGATGTTTTTTCCTTATCATAAATAATGGAGCGTGATACTAAGAGTTTAATATAAATTGGAACAGGAAGCTGTCTCTCAATTACTTACAACTTTCTGCTTCAGAAGATAGATTGTATGATGACGATTATGAGGGGCCTAGGAGAAGGAAGTCCAGAAAACGAGGTGGTCATATGAGCTACAATAGTCCCGTGAACGTTTCTGAGCACCCTCTTTCGAAGAATGAGATAAACAAGATTCGCCGTTCTCAGGTATTATATTAGTTTTCTACAAGAAAAAAGCAAGTATTGGTGCCTTTACATGTTCTCTCGATATCCAAGTTCTCCACAATTTCTTTCAATTCTTTGATTGAGATGTCTCTTAATCGTTTAAGGACAAGGTTAAATTATAATTTCCAGGTTCCTCAAATCAGTGATACGTTATGGCATCTTGAGGCAAGGGATATGCTGCCAGCGATATGGTTCATTTTTAACCGTAGAGGATGTGATGCAGCTGTGCAATATGTTGAAAACTTTGATCTTTTAGATGAATGCGAGAAAAGTGAGGTGGAACTTGCTTTGAAGAAGTTCCGTGTTCTTTATCCAGATGCTGTGAGAGAAAGTGCAGAGAGAGGACTTCTAAGAGGAGTCGCTGCTCATCATGCAGGCTGTTTACCTCTATGGAAATCATTCATCGAAGAACTGTTTCAGCGAGGGCTTGTTAAGGTTGTCTTTGCTACTGAAACTCTTGCTGCTGGAATAAACATGCCGGCCAGAACAGCTGTTATTTCATCTCTGTCTAAAAAGGCTGGTAATGAACGGATCCAGTTAAGCCCTAACGAGTTGTTCCAGATGGCTGGGCGTGCTGGACGTAGAGGCACTGATGAAAAGGGCTACGCTGTGCTGGTTCAGTCACCTTTTGAAGGTGCTGAAGAGTGCTCCAAACTTGTCTTTACTGGAGTAAAACCTCTTGTGTCACAGTTTAAAGCTTCATACGGAATGGTACTGAATCTTTTAGCCGGTTCTAAAGTTACTAGTAAATCAAACGTGTCGGAGGATGTGAAAGTCCTACAAGCAGGGAGAAGCCTGGAAGAAGCCAAGAAATTAGTTGAACAAAGTTTCGGAAACTATGTGAGCAGCAATGTGATGGTTGCTGCTAAAGTGGAACTTGCCGAAATAGACAAGAAGATTGAGATTCTGACCGCTGAAATAAGCGATGAAGCAATAGATAAGAAGAGTAGAAAACTCCTCTCGAGGGAGGAATACAAGGAGATCACTGAGCTTCAGGAAGAACTGAGGGAAGAGAAGCGCAAGCGTACTGAACTGCGCAGAAGGATGGAGTCTGAGAGATTCTCAGCCCTAAAACCGCTATTAAAGGGGATGGCTGATGGACATTTACCGTTTATGTGCTTGCAGTACAAAGACTCGGGAGGGATCCAACAGTCAGTCCCTGCTATTTACTTGGGACATGTCGATTCTTTCAGCGGTTCAAATCTTCAAAAGATGATTTCCACACATGAGTCTTTTTCACTGAAGGTAATCGAGGAAGAGTCAATGGCGGAAGATCCTGAAAAACCTGTTTTGGAACCATCATATTACGTGGCCCTTGGCTCTGATAACTCTTGGTATCTCTTTACGGAGAAGTGGGTTAGGACTGTATACAAGACAGGTTTCCCTAACGTTGCTCTAGCGCTGGGAGATGCTTTGCCTCGGGAAATCATGAAGATGCTTCTTGATAAAGCGGACATGCAGTGGGATAAACTAGCTGAATCCGAGCTAGGAAGCCTGTGGAGCGCGGAAGGATCTCTCGAGACATGGTCCTGGAGTTTAAATGTGCCTGTCTTAAGCAGCCTTTCTGAAGAAGACGAGGTGTTACATATGTCAGAAGAGTACGATAACGCCGTGGAGAAGTACAAGGAACAGAGGAGCAAAGTATCGCGTCTGAAGAAGAAGATATCTCGTACCGCGGGCTTCAGGGAATATAAGAAGATACTAGACAATGCAAAGCTGACAGTGGAGAAGATAAAACGGCTCAAGGCAAGATCGAGACGTCTCATCAACCGTTTGGAGCAGATAGAGCCATCTGGTTGGAAAGATTTCTTGCGGATAAGCAACGTAATCCAAGAAAGCAGGGCACTGGACATTAGCACGCACGTAATCTATCCTCTTGGAGAAACAGCAGCTGCAATCCGAGGAGAAAACGAGCTTTGGCTTGCGATGGTTCTTCGGAACAAGGCTCTGGTAGATCTAAAACCTCCACAGCTGGCCGCAGTATGTGCAAGTTTAGTCTCCGAGGGCATAAAAGTCCGAGCATGGAGAGACAACAACTATATCTACGAGTGCTCCGATACTGTAATAAAGACGGTTAACTTCTTGGAGGAACAGAGAAGTGCTCTGCTGCAACTGCAAGAGAAACACGAGGTAGAGATCTCATGTTGTCTGGACAGCCAGTTTTCTGGAATGGTTGAAGCATGGGCGTCGGGATTAAGCTGGAAGGAAATGATGATGGAGATCGCGATGGATGAAGGTGATCTTGCCCGTCTATTGCGTCGAACCATCGATCTCTTAGCTCAGATTCCTAAGCTGCCCAGTATAGACCGAGTGCTCCACCGTAATGCAGCGGCTGCAGCTGACGTCATGGACCGGCCCCCAATCAGCGAGCTTGCCGGCTAGATTGACGACATTGGGAATATGTGAAGAAATGGGTATGTAAAGCTGGAAAGAGGAGGTATAAGACATATTTATTCATTCAGGTGAATAAACATTGAAACAATGAGAGCAAACAAAGGGGAGAAAGGGGAAGTGTCCCAAATGTTACAACATACAGAAGCCCTCCTATGTACAATGCTGATAAAAAGAAAAGGAAAAGAAAAAAAACTACATTTGGAGCTAAAGGAGATGCCAAAAGGTCCTTTACTTTTTTTCTCGTTCTCCCTTTCATTTTTATTTTGTTTTAATCATTCAGACAAACAAACAACATGGGACCAGAACCAGATTGAGGAATCAGCAGTCGTAGAGAAGCAGCCTTCATCCGGTTCGGTTCCTTCTCTTCGAAAAGGAAGGTAGGCCAGTGAATTTGCCACATTTGTTGAAGAAGTTGACTTCTTTTTATTTTTTCTTTCACTGGCCAGCAAGAAGTTGATGGTATCTAAGAATCCTCTGTTGGTGTCTAGTTAAAGAACACATGGGAACGGTGTCTTGTCTGAGGGCTGAACCACTCTGGTCCGAAGCTTTCCTCTTCCTCTTCTTGGCACGATGCAAAAAATCCTCTGTGTCTAATACATACGATACCTGCATAGAGAGAGAGAGAGATTTCAAAACCAAGCTCATATGTACTCAGAAACCATAAAATCAGGACAAAAACTCTTTACCTTGGAAGAACTGCAGGCTATCTTACATTCCAATCCATTGATTATCTTAACTCCTTCAATGGGGTATAGCTGCTCATCACCTCCTCCATTTTTGCGTTTGTTCCTGAAACCAACAAAAAAAGAATTGTTTCACGAGTTTCCTCATTGGTTCGAGCAAACCAAAAAACAAAGGCTAGTGTGTTTTGTCCCGTGTTTCCACGCTAACCTCTGTAAATAAATCCCGGACTTGTCTCTTCTGTTTGGTCCAACAGACAGGAAGTCATTGTGAAGATAAGCTGCAAAACTCGGATCCATGATTACGGTTGTCACCTCGGGCTTCTCGTATCCGTAGTCCATAAGCTGGATCGTGAGTTTCGTTGGTGTTGATGATTTCTGCAATAATTTACAGAGTTAGTGGAAGCACCAAGGAGTTACAATGGAAAAAGAGTCGATAAGTTTGAGTAAAAAAAGAAAAACTTACGCATTCAAAGCGGTAGATATTCTCATCGGGGATGAGAACACGAGCATTATCATAATAAACAACATCACCAAATCTTTCGAGGTTCCTGGACTTCTCATATGTGCATAGCTGTATAAGCTTGTTGTCCGTATCATCGCTTGCAACTACTTGGAGCTAAATCCGAAACACAAACAGTTCAGTTGAATAGCCAGCCATTGAAGGACCAATGAAAAAACACGAAAAAGGGGAAAAAACTTACATGCTTAATGAGCTTATAAATTAGTTTGTCCAATGTGAAGAGGACATATGACTGAATCCCGATAATAGAATGGCAATCATCTTCGAATTTTGCATTATCAGATGTACCATCAACCAGGTTGTATAAAGCATTCATGAAGCTGTCCATTCACAAAAGTGAATGCAAATTGAGCAGAGGAGACGACGAGAGAATAATTTACGTACAAAAGAAAAAAAAAATCACCTGGAGTAGGGATCGCCGTTGTTCTTTGCATTCATGCCTTTCCACTTCCTTTCTGGGGACGATGAATTGATCTTTGCAGAAAGTATTCTCTCATACAACATCTGTCAAAGATTAACCGTCTGTTGTAAGTTTTTTACCTCAGTGAAAAAAGCTGGAAGCTTTTAGTGATGATCCTCTTACCTGGTGAAGCCTGAAAAGGACATAAAATGAATCATTCCCGTAAAAGGCCAATGAGTGCTTTAGAGAATCCTTGTCCTTTTCACGCGATCCTGGAGAGACATACTTTGCGAGAGGCTTCACATGTTGTAAGAACCGTTCTGAAAACGGTAACGCAGACCTGTTTCCCTCCACATCGTGGGCATTAGCGTCACCTTCGCTTTCTACCTTGTTATCACGCTCTAGTTCATCGTCTCCTTGCTCCTCCCGAGAACAATCTTCACCTTCACCAGACTCGGTTCCAGAAACATCGCCATTCTCTGATGCATTTCCGCTTTCCTCTGATGATCTTGGAGCGCTTTCATCATCATCAGCTTCATTCTCTACACCTGTCTCCCCATGGCCATGACATGCTTCCTCTTCTCCACTACTCTTTCGGTTTAGGTCTTTTCCGCCATTGTCATTAACCTTGTCGGTTGCCTCCACACCACTTCCCGCAAAAACTGAAAAATTGTCTTCCTCGAAATCTCCATTAGGAGAAAGCTCACCCTCTTCTCTTTCAACTTTCGGCTGTCCACCCAATCCTTCATCGCTTCTTTGATTCCCCGTCTCTATCAATACTTGCTTAACACCGGCCTGTGGAGAAAAATTAAAAGCACATCAAACAGATACCATCTCTTGCCTACTACCATAGAACTAGAATATAACCCTCTAAAGGATTTCGACTTTTCTAGTTTTCCTTAAAAAGAATCTAAGCACAATGAAACCATATAGATCATATGGAGTAATCCCTTTAGACAGTTTCATATGAATATCTGCGAGATAATAGAGTTCAAGAGCTTCATTGCCCAAAAATACCTCTGTTTTCGGCGAATTCCCATCGTTAAGCTTCAATTCTGTCTCACTTTCGCCGCCGGCTCCACCACTAGGCCTGGGGTTAATATTGCTAAGACCTGACCAAGTGAAAAAAACAAGAAGGGTACCTTACCACCCATCGTTTCATTAAAGGAAACTTGAAGAAAAAACAGTACTGAAGCAAGATTTCGGGTGTTACCTGCCATGTATCCGATGCTCAGTCTCCCATTGTTTTGGTCTGATAATCTATTCCCAGGGGATGCATTTGAATTGTGAATACGTTCACTACACATAGCTTCTTTGCTGTCATGTCTTTCGTCGGAAGTGGAAGCATGCTTCGGTGTTTGGTCATGCCGTGTGGAATCACATAAAACATCTGAGTTCTTACGAGCAGAGACATCCCTCTCTGGATTACTAGGTTGTCCCATCCCATTATTTCCATTGACTTTTCGGGCGGCATTGGAACGTCTAGAGCTGACAACATTAGCACCACCGCTATGAGAACTGCCCTCGCTCTCCCCGACGCTTGTGTTACCACTTTTCACATTCTGGTCGTTCTTGGACTTGGCAACATCTTCTCTGTCTTCATCGCCCCGAGGCCGAAGAGCACCAAACATTGGTTCCACAAAGGTTGTCCAAATCTTCATCACCTTATCCAACTGTTCAGTTGTGCACATTTCAGCACACGAATACTTGATTAGCTGATACAGATCATCGTGAATACCCGGGTCCCGATACTCAAACTCCAGATGGGGAGAAATGGATCTCCTGTTTCTTGCTGCAATAACAAGGAACGTATCATCATCCTTTCTCTTCTTCTCGGTGATCTCTTTTATCTCCGCAATCAGTGCTGCAGCAAAAAAGAAAGAAAGAAAGTAATACACGAGAAATTCAGCAACACATTGTAACCAAAACATGGATAATATTGGTTAAATGCTTCTACCACGATCCATTTCTGTGACATCAAGATATCCAGATACAGGGTTTCGGGGAAAAACCTTTCGTGCTCAGATTCTTCGAGTCCTGTTGTTTGAAATAGAAACTACGATGATCGAGTGATTTGTGGTAGTTCTTGGCATATATTTCAGCCCAGACTTTGTTAAAATCAGAACGACACCTCGCCCAATCTTCTTGCTTCTGTTTCAAACGGGTTAGTATTACGGGCAAAGCAAGAGACGCATTCTTCTTCAGTACGTCCATGACATCGAGCCCGTGGTCACCATATAGGCGTTCGATGCATCTTAGGTTCAGAGCTAAAGGGAAAAAAAAAAGAAGTGAAAGAAATCCATTGTTAACGGAAAGAAATCCGTGAAACCGGATAAGATGCATGCAAAAGACAATGAACAGTGATATTTTTGTACCGACTATACCTGTGAGGTAATCCTCGATACGGATGGGGCTGTCAGTTCTCAACTCGTTACTGTTAATTTTCGCCAATAGTTCCTCCACACGCTTTGCTGTCGAGTTCACAGACTCCAACAACATGTCCAGCTCAAACCTAAATCCACATCAACAGACATTTTATTCACCAAATGATAAAAGGCGGTCAGATTGTGATGGAAAGAACGTAACATCAATTACAGAAACAACAGGACAGTAACCATTATTCATCGAAGAAATGGAATAAAAATGTTCTTCCTTTCCACCGACTAAACAACCTGTCATCCTCACAACGGAAGAGGCTCTCTTCGTACTGGTTTTTCCGCATGTGTTTAAAAGAATAATCTTCACTTCCTGAAGTGACGGAAACCCAGTGATCGTTGAGTACTTGGCTACCAAGCTCGGTTCTTGAGCTTGCAACAGGAATCGGGTACTGCATGAAACAGAATATCGACATGAAAACTAAAACCGGGGAAAAACGGTTAAAATCATGATGAACCACGGCTATACATACACTCTTCGGAAGTAGCCGGTAACTAGGAGTGCATTGCTCACAGTTTGAGAGATCGAGTTCATTGATAGGTTTTGCCCATTTGTTACTTGCTGCAGCCTTTTCAAGCCTCTCCCTCTCACGGTCTCTTTCTCTATACTTTTCATCCCTTTCGCGTTCTCGGTCTCTGTCCTTGTCTTCCACCTTAGCAGATCGATTATAACTGCCTTCACTCCACATGGATTCTGCATCAATCCAATGACGAGAACCCGTTTTTTTCCCTTTTCAGTTTTCATTGCAAATTACTAAATTAAAAGATATATATATATATATATAAATTTTAAAGAAGAAAGCCAAACTTACTCCTGGTAACAATGCTAGAGAGCAATCCTTCTGCCAAAAAAGAAAAGACGAGATCTATGTTATTTTCTAAACCAAAGGAGGCGAGAAGAGAAAAGCATAATTCCGCTCGGCTACCAGTCTTTTCACACTGCACCAAAAATTCTCTGAAAGCATCCGTGAGGTCCGGATACCGTCCAATTAAATCCCCCACCTGATACAAAAAAAATTACGTGGTCGAACTCCGTATCATTGACCGTAAGTACATCCTCAAACTAACAAGGAGAAAGAGAGAGTTTCGAGTCCACGTATATGCATACCAAAGATTTCAACTCCGGCTGGCTGATTATTTCTTTTGAATAGAGATTAAGGCATCTTAAAAATTCCTGGTACTCGGAAATGTGTAGCTTTTCCTTCACTCTATCCACAAAACCAAGTTCTTGGCTATAACCTGTCGCAAAACAGAGTCCTTTTAAAAACAAACGCGCAGAATATATAACAGAGAAACCGACGCATAATTTCGGAACATGATTAGAACACGAAGTCAACAAAACTCACTTATTTAAGGAGGAAAAAAAAACAGAACTATCACCTTCCCTGCCTTGATTGGAAAGTTCAGCAGAATTATCGCCCCTAAGTGGTGGTTTGCTTTTGCTGACGGGAAACTGCTGTGTCTGGCTATCATATTCAAAATCTCTACCGCCTCTTTCGCTACCTCTCCCGTCTCTGACATCCCTCTGCTCGCTTTCTTTGTCATTACGTCTCACTTGCTCTTCATTTTCTTTCATTGGAGATTTCTCGTGGTCCAGGTCAGGACGCTCAATGCTCAGGTCACGGTCAGGATGTGAAGTAATAACGTTCCTTTCCTTCTGTAAACAATGCCCATAACAGATGTGAATTTGGTTATAGACTTTTGATAACACGGTATGCATATAGAGAAAAATTTATCCCAAGTAAAACCCGGAGAGGAGAAACCTTATCAGAGGGCATTTGGCGGATCATAGTATGCACAGACACGCCGCCGTCGCGTGACAAAGAATTTTTAACGGAATGAGATGGTGCAGTTGCAGAAGTATCGGGGAGAAAGTGAGTAAACTCGACTAGCAAATCATGATGATCCCGAAAAAGGGTAGCCACCTGCAAGATAAACCCGACCACACCATGGAAAGGAAGAGCAACAAAGCCAAAGGAATAACAGCATAAAAACACTGATTATCGATGAACATACCTCCTGGTAGACCTCAGTAATGGACTTATTCTCCTTTCTGTACATATTCAAAATATCTAAAAATGATTTGTACACACGATCATCCCCCTGAAACCTCGTCTGCAGAGTAACGATATCTAAGAGATGGGCAGAAGAAGAAGCAAGAGCGCTGCCATGGATTCAGATTATCGGGAAATGGATCGAACCTTAATCTTGTTGACAAAATTAATCGCTTCCTCAAACTCAACAGGTTTCTTCGGAGCAGGCTGCCCGTCCTCGGGCAAGAGGGTGATCTCATAACCCTTTGGCAAGAAGGTATTGAACCCTAAAATCAGCTCTCTATGACCTTTGAAAAGTTCCTTCACCCTTATTATTACACCAGCGGTATCGATTCTACAGGATGGACATAGAGCACTGAGCGTTACATTGGAAGAGGGATGAACAAAAGGGCAAATCAATGGATCGGAGATCGAAACTACACCTCTGAGCCTTAAAATCCTTCATGACCTCGAGAAACTCGTCGTATTGTTCGCGTTTATCATGGAATTTATCCTTCACGGCCTTGAGGTAAGCAAGTGCATCATTTGTAGTTAGCTTCTGGGCACCTCCTGGTCCGACCATTGTTTGACTTTGTCCAGATGGAAAGAAAATGCGTCAGCGAAAACTAGATAATTGAAAGCCTTTCAGAATCTCAAAGCCGTCACCGCTCTTGTTCAAAGTAAAAAGTCAAATCCTGGGCCTTATGGAGAAGAACTGTAATCTCTCCTACAAGGTCTAAACGACAGGATATGCTCAAATCCGACAAGAAACTACCATTACAGATCAGTTGGAAAGCATGAGAACTCGACGAATCAACCGAACTCTGAGAAGCTCAACATGAACCAGACCAATCAAACAAACAGAAAAAGGAACTCAATTTATCGATTAAAAGCTTGCCTGATCTCAAATGGAGGATCGAACTGACGAGATTAAGAGATAGGCTTACGCTTCTTCACGAGACGAAACGACAGGCCTTCGAATTTGAGTGTTCATGTAAATTTCATCATCTCTCGACCTCTTCATCGCCCAAAAGCCCAAAATACGAAGAGATGAAAAAATCGATTTATCTTCATCCAGAAATCACATCCTTAGAACTCTGGAAATCAATCACAAGAAAAACAATTTTTTTTAAAGAAAAAACTTTGTGAGAACCAAACTCGAACTCGAACTCATCCCGACCATAACAAGAACCATCAGCAGATCTAGCAACTAGAATAAACACAAATCGAAATCAACAACAGATTGAAGCAATGAACAAAAAAAATCCGATCATTTGAACTGAATCCGCGGATTATTTCTCACATTCACTTCACCATAAAGTTAAATGCTTCGAAATCGAAAGAAGATCGTATAATTACCGAATTTCGAAGATAAACAAGAGACCAAACTTGTTCTTACATCCCACGAAATACAGATAGACCAAAAAAAAAAACAATCCCTGAAGAGAAGCCACTGAGACAAGTTTTATGAAAGATGAGAGAGTTACCAAAAGGATTTCTACGTGACGCTTAATTAGAAAATGTAATTAACAATATTATTGTTTTTATTTTTATTTTCCCTTTTCGTTTTTTCGCCCTCTTTTATTATTTTCTTTTCTTTTCGAGAAGCTAAATTGGTTTTCAAAGATGATTAAATATTAATTACGCTGTAAAACACACACACATATATATATATATATATATATATATGTACATATAGGTTTTTGGACAGCCGTTGGTAGGTTGCGTACAGGTTGTGGTTACCGGTGATAGCCGGTGAACTTTGGATTAGGGGCGCAGCGCTAGGGATTCAGACATTGGGGACGTCCTGTGGCATTTTCGTGATATTTCCAACATGGTATGGGTAAAGTAGGTAGATCATCAAAAAAATAAAAACAATATTCTAATGATATCATGTGATGTAATAAGTAATTTGAGGCTTTCGATTCAATGCTCTAGAATTTTTTCCATTTTCGCGTCCCGCGATTTTTGTCATTAAATACAAACTTTGAGAATTTTTAGTTCCATTATTAGAATTACAGTTTTGACAATTTTACATGCATTTAAAATTGCTTATAAAAAAAGTAATTTTAAATAGGAAATCAAAAGGCCCATTTATATTCGGGCTTCCATTTCGGCCCATATAATGATTTTTTTTTTTGTAATGATGGGCTCACATTTTCATCTAAATGGCCCATCATGAACCTTCTCTTCTAACCCATTTTCTAAAAATTACCCCCAGTAAATATTAATTTTCTATAAATTAAATCCAATTAATTTTGAGTTGGTGAGTTTGGCTGTCGTCAATCATGAAAGCGTACCTAATATATTGCTTTTCTTCTGCATTGCATTGGCCATTTTTTCTTTACCTTTGAATGCAATATTTCTTCTTCTTATGATGAATAATGATTTATGATAATTGATATGCCATCCCCATATCCTCAAATTTAAAATACTATATCTTATACAAAGAATATAACGTAGAGGAGTTGAGTTTATATATTAAACATAAACTTAAGCTAGATGTCAATGTATTGACAGCGTTTCAAATACCTAATATTCAAAAACTCTAGAAAAGAATAAGACTTGCGGAGTTTAGAGTTTGAATGATGTACCGAACATGAGTATTATTATACGTATATACATACGTATATATGTGTAAGTAACAGGACAAACTAAATCATGATGACATTTAAAAAAAAGGAGTATGGATCCAAAAACCTTTTGATGATTGAAGAGCAGCTTCCATGTGGAAAATGCATATGATTGTTCAACCAAAAAAAAAATGCATATGATTGGTCTGTGTGTGTGTGTGTGCGCAACTTCTTCATCTATGTGTTACTCAATGATAATTAGCAACCCTCCAAAACAGGATTGGACCCAATCATATGCATGTATGTATGTATGTATGTATGTATGTATGTATGTATGTATGTATGTATGTATGTATGTATGTATGTATGTATGTATGTATGTATGTATGTATGTATGTATGTATGTATGTATGTATGTATGTATGTATGTATGTATGTATGTATGTATGTACATGTGCTAGATTGAGGCCGAGTGAAACACATGCAGGATTCCTTGTACATGAACCAAACTCTAAAATATTTGCCCAAAACTCCAAATGGGTATATGGGCATCGACCTCTCATATGTATATGCACATCATATTTTTTTTAAAATGGAAGGAGAGAGAAGAGAACAACATGTGCATAGCGTTTCCTTGGTGGGAAAACACACATGACAACATCTAAGATATACAAATTCTAATACATATATACATATATATAGAGAGAGAGAGGGAGATTTGTGATAACATAGGTTTTGGCCATGTGAAAGGCTCCTCCATTCTTATCCTATATATCATAAGTTGTGTGTGTATATATATATATATATATATATGTTAGTATTTGGAAGTAAATTAGGGATTCCTTCATAGTTATTTTTGCCACTTAATTTTATAGTCAAACAACGTCACTCGCACCTTTCGTCCTCTAGTGTCTTTGCTTTCCTTTTTTTTCTTCTTCTTCTTCCCCACAGATTCTTGCATCTTATTTAGTTGGGACGTCATCGTTTTATAAAGTACGAAAAAATAGCAATGTCATATCTACAAAGATATTAAAACCACAGCTTTATTCGATATTATTGGTATTAAAAAAAATTAATTAAAAATATTTAAAATTTTAAATGGTTAACGACATTATAAATGATTAGATCTAGAGATCTTTAATCTCACTAATTTTAGTCTTTACTAATATAAAAATTTGGGATAGAGTTTAAATGCTAGACAACGTTATAAACGGTCCAATATTCCGTGAAAAAATTGTACAAAGAGGGATACAATTTCTTCGATTCGGTGGTCAAACAAAGCAAAGCACACATCGATCCCCGATCTTAAATGTTTCTACTGACCAAATCAATGCAGCGGTTTAGCTGGGCCGTCATTGTTGACAATCTTTCTTCCTTCTTTTTTTTTAATCACATTGGTGAATTTCCTGTAACATTCATTTTGCAAACCCTAGCCAATAATTATAATGTACCGCTGTAAAAAAAAAAAATCACTGCAGATGAAATAACGAAAAGTATACCTCGATAAAATCTTTTACTTCATGGGATCATACATAAATGTAGAATTATTTTTATTTTAAGAAAAAAGAGGGATGAAAATAACAAGACGAGGGCCGGACAAAGCCAAATCGAAGGAACCATTCCATAAGTGATTTGTCGGACGGAACAAAAGCTCACATGGCCCCTTCCCACACACTTCACGTCTCCTTCTTTGCCTCAAATCATGCATATATATGCTCTCTCTCTCTTTTCCTTGAAAACGATCATTCTTTTTCCTTTTTTCAATGCTTCTATCCAATTTTATCTAATAATAATTATACCCACTTTTATATATATATATATATATATATATATATGTATATATGTGTATGTTATATGCATTCATAATGTATATATATATGTATAATAGATCTAAAATCCCTCGTGGTTTGTTTTTATTGTTCATGCATTTATGAGTGTAACACTTGTGATTGTTGATAAAACCTTATATTTAATTACTTTCATCGGATCGATCTCTTTATTTTGTTTTCGATCGCAACAAAAATACGTACATGAGATTCGAGTAAATCGGAGAATATATAATATAGCGGTAATTAACGTTTTTACATGCATGCGTAAGAAATCATCACATGCCGCTAATATTGGCGACACGTTTACCACTTCCTATGAATGCCAAGTAAGCATGTATAAAATTATTGTTGTTATTTTGATAGACGGTTAAGTTGTAGATAATATAATTAGTTAATAAATGATTAGTAATCAGTATTTGATATAATATATAATCATAATAACAAATAGGATAGTGTTTTCGACAATAAAGGGCTGGGATTAAAAAGCTAAGCAGTAAAAGGATCGCAGTAACATTAAATAAGTGAGGAGTTAATAAAGTCACGTGATCATCTGCCCACCCCACTCTTCGTATATGCCTTCTCCATGTCCCCTTCACGTGCTTCCCCATTATCATCTCTCTCGGTATTTACTTCTCTGCCACTGTAATTCTCTTTTTTATTCGAATTATTCCTTCTGAATATTCAATTTTGTTTATTAATTTGATTATTTAAAAATGTAAATACACTCAAAATGTTACTCATCATTTTATTGATGGGACTCCATGAACAAAAGAGATCTCTCCATGTCGCGGTATGTTGCTAGGTGTCAAATTCAGCTGGAATTGTTTTAAAATTACGAACTCGATTTCATTTGATAAAACCTGAATAAATTAATTAATTTCCATCAATATTCTGAACATGTCAATCGTCAAAGAGAAACATAATATTTATATATTCTTATTACCGCTTAATTACTCGAATATTTGGAATTGTTCCAAGGTTTGCCAGTTGGGATTATATTCCGTTGCCTGTAAGTTATACAATATTTTATTTCCTCATATTTAAAATTATTGTCATTTTTTCCTTTCGATAATGACATTGGATAATTACTAATTTACTATCAAATAAGTAAATTCAGGTGATATGAATGGGATTAAATGGTTATAATAAATATATTTACAATTTCAGAAACATTCCTCCCTGATTTAAAAAAAAAATACTCCTATTTTGGCCATAATAATAACAAAACGAATAACACTAACAATAATAATAGAAAAAAATGAAATAATTTTATTTTTATTTTCACGACTCCCTCTCTCGTTGGCATTTAAAAAGCCATTACCCAACTCAACCGTCGACATACATCGCAACTCTCTGCCGCCATATCCAGACAGTTTACATTCAATGCGACAAAATTAATCTCCAGAATCTCAAATCGGAAAAAATGTCGATCCACTTACGATCTCCGGCGAGTCCTCCGGTCAATTCCTTGCCGTCTCCGCATGATCTCAAGCAGCGCGTCATCGCTTGCCTCAACAAGCTCGCCGACCGCGACACCTTGGCTCTCGCCTCCGCCGAGCTCGACTCCATAGCCAGAAACCTCACTCATGACTCCTTCTCTTTGTTCCTCAACTGTATCCACAACACCGATTCATCCTGCAAATCTCCGGTGAGGAAGCACTGCGTCGCTCTATTGTCCCTTCTCTCCCGCTCCCATGGCGATTCGCTCTCCCCTCACCTCTCCAAGATGGTCTCCACTGTAATCCGCCGTCTCCGTGATCCGGATTCATCCGTACGCGCCGCCTGCGCCGCGGCCGCGGCGGACATGTCGGCACACGTCACTCGGCAGACGTACGCCGGCGTGGCGAAGCCGCTGATGGATACGCTTATCCAGGAGGGCGATTCCAACGCCCAGATCGGGGCGGCGATGTGCCTGGCGGCGGCGGTGGAGGCGGCGGCGGATCCGGAGGCGGAGCAGCTGAGGAAGGCGCTGCCGAGGATGGGGAAATTGCTGAAGAGCGATGGATTCAAGGCGAAGGCGGCACTGTTGGCTGCCGTGGGGAGCGTAATCGGCGCAGGCGGCGCGGGAACAAAGGCTGTTTTGGACTGGTTGGTCCCGTCGCTGACGGAATTCCTGAGCAGCGAGGACTGGGCGGCGAGGAAATCGGCGGCGGAGGCGTTGGTGAGAGTGGCGACGGCGGAGGAGGAGTTGGCGCCGTTTTACAAGAAGGCGTGTACGGCTGCTCTCGAGAGCAGGAGATTTGATAAGGTAATCATTGCCGCTGAACCAAGCCAGATTCAGGGTTCTGTCGAGGAAATCTAAATCAGATCTTTGATGTGCTCTGTTGGATCTATGATTCAGGTCAAAATCGTCAGAGAAACAATGAATCGTGCACTGGAGCTGTGGAAGGAAGTTCAATCCGATACTGACGAGGCCTCATCATGTCCATCTCCATCTCCATCTAGATCTTCCACTGGTATGTTTCAATTACAACATCTTTGAATTCGGCTGGATATTAGGTTTAGAGGGTGATTTTCATGGGCTGATTCCAATTAATTGCGTCTAAAAATGGGTTCAGATGATGGAAGCATTGGATGCTTTTCGTCAGTGACAAGAAGCTCGTCAACTGAAGTTGGATTTAAGACCCCCCGACCAAAGAAAGCAACCCCCAGAATGAAGAGGTCCCCCTCCTTACCCATGAACAAAGCAAATGCTGCAACCGGACAAAAGGAAAATCTTGCAAGAACGAACCAAGGGAATATGAACTCGTTAGCGGTCTCCAAGGTGGATAACAATGGACCACCATCTCTTTCTCCGACTCAGTCTTTGGACCATGGAACCTTAGCATCTGAAGAGAAGGGTGCTGTCTCTGATAAAATCCACGGCTCGTGGTCTGGCTCCCGTGTTGTCCCTTGCAATGACAATGACAAGAACGAAAAGGACGAGAACAAGAAAGATGGGGAGGAACTCTCTTTGATACGCGAACAGCTTGCTCAGATCGAGAACCAGCAATCCAATCTCTTAGCCCTCATTCAGGTATACCATTGTTCATGGTCTTATCCGATGCAATGCGGTTGGACACAGACAGTTTGGATATTTTCCCCTGCAATGGGGAACATTCTTATAATAAATGACAGTATCAAAAGAACTCCTTTCTTATATGATTCAATTGAAATGCAGAAATTCATAGGGAGCTCACAGAGTGGGATTCAGTCTCTGGAGTCACGAGTGAGCGGCCTCGAGATGGCGTTGGACGAAATATCATTCGACGTGGCAATTTCGAGCGGGAGAATCCCCAAGAGCAACTGCTCAGGAGAAGCATGTTGCAAGCTACCTGGTTCGGAATTTCTAAGTCCTAAATTCTGGAGGAAACCCGAAGCTCGGTTGCATTGCTCAAAGTTATCTTCCTCCTCCTCAGTTCAAACACAGACAGTGAACACTGTCTGTAAGGTAACCGGATACCAGACCAATGATGATCAGACAAAACCAGAACCAACTGATGGCAGCAGAGGAAGTTCAGGGTTTCAGAACAGATCTTCCAAAAGCCATTTCCAAGACTCTTTGCTTACAACTCTACAGAATCCAACAACCAGGTAAAGAGTGATTTGGGTGTGGATCAGTGATCCAAATACGAAAAAATCCGGTTTCTAGTTTCGATCCCTTAAATCATTTTCGATGTTTATGTCAGGTTATCTACTTGAACCGAGCTGACTGATAGATTTTGGGCAAAGGTGGTGTGAAGAAGCTGACAAAAAATAAACCAATCTCAGATTCGATGCTTGGACTGCATGTTTGCTCGTCACATGTCTTCGTAAGTTTAATATTGAGTGAAAGTGATCATGTTTCTCCACATCTGAAGCCAATATAGGAAAAAAAAAGATCATGTGCTTGTGAATATAAAATCATTTTTTTTTGTTTTAAATATATATATATATATATATATAATCATTTTTTTGGGGGGTTTGGGTATCGGTATTTCAATAGAGTATAAGACCGTAGAAGCTGTACAAAAGGGATTGATCTCTCTCGTATTTATATACATACACCCTAACCAGAGTGCCTCATGTCAACTCACACACACCTTACATGCATCATCATCATCATCATATCTATATGCATGATGCGTTTCGATTCGTGACAAATAAAAAATGCCCATGTGTCGAATATGATCTTATTTGGTTAAGCAAAAGGGATTTTGTCGTAAGCCTAAAAAACACAAGATTGGTTTGACAATTATTAAGAAGAGAATATATATGGAGAAGAAAAATCCAAAAAGAGATTATGAAGAATCGCGGCATTGGGGACGGTCCTGAGGGAGGGTGGTCAAAGTCTGGGGAGCGTCGGGAGAAGGGACAACCGCGGCTTCATCACAGAGGTAACGAATCCGACCAGTTTTGTCTTCCCTGCAATCCGTAAGGAGCAACCGCGTTTGGAAGCGCACTTCGCCCCTCTCCTTGATATCATCCATGATGCTTTTACCAACCCCACCTTCCTGCTCCGCCGCCGCCACTGAAACCCTAACCACCTCTGCTAGACCCCTCTCCCTTCCAGCGACGAGAACGTACCTGCAACACATATTGCAACGCATCGATATTGGTTTACAAACTTTGCACGTAATGTTTGTAAACCATTATATGTATATATATATACACACACACACACACACAGGTTTATATGATCGTCTATCCATCTATCTACGTTTCGTGTGACCAAACCACGTTATACGTCTTTTTTTCTATAAACAAATTATAGAAAAACGTTTAAAAGTGATTTGATTGTATAAAAAGTAGATCTACTACTATCAGTTAGTAGCATAGTAACAGTGATTAGTGATGATTAAAAGTGTTTATAAATATCAGAGAATTTAATCCGAAATCGAAATAAACAAAAAGAAATTCATATACCTTTGAGGAGATGAAGTTGCTATTGTAAGATTGCGGTAGAGAATGGAGGCTTGGACCTCTCCGTCCGTACAACGAACATAAAAGTCAAATTCAGGAGGCAGCCGTAGAAACACGTCCCACTTGGCTCCGATCCGATCATCGTCGGTTACGTCAACGACTGTGAAATCCATCGACACTTGTCTGATCATCGGAGGCAGCGGCGGTATGCTTGCTTTCACTAACCCGACAGTTACCATAACAAGAGCCGCCATTGAGGCCACACCCCAAATCAGTAATGTCATTCGATCGGGTTTAGGGTTGACTTGGCCATTGCCGTTGGCGGCGGAGGACGATGAAGATGACGATAACCCGAAGATCATGGTCTTTTATCAGATTTATAAAAACCCTAACTATTGATGATCCGATCTGAACATATAATGCTCGAGAGACTATTGTGTAATCGGATAACGATTTTCATCCTAACTAGGAAACATTCACCCGAATCTCAACCCTAGTTAGCGTTAATGTCGGAGCCAAACCGTTAAAAAAATACCGAGAGGTTTAGATTTTTAGAAGATTGAATAAAAACAGAACCGAATATTTTAAAATCCGGAATAAACCAAATTTTTTTAATAGATGTAAAAAGAGTATGATTTTTTTTATAAAAAATAACATCATCAACATCTTAATCCCAAGTTTATTTATTTGGAATCGGTCACATGAATTCTTCTTTTCCACTCATTTATCCTCCAAAATTTGCAATACATCCAAATCATTCCTGATGACTCGTTCCCAAATAAGTTTAGGTTTATCCCTTCCTCGTTTCTTCACTTCTATCCTTATACTCTCTAATTTTCTAAGCGGAGCGTCGAACGATCTACGTTTTACATGTCCAAACCAAACCACCTTAAGCGTCCTTCCCATAATTATTTCTTTTCTATGGTTACGATTCCTAATTTCTCTCTAATACTCTCATTTCGGATTATGTCCATCCGTATATGTTCATACATCCATTGCAATATCTTCATCTCGACCACACATATTTTGGACACATGTTGTCCTTTTGTCACCCAACACTCACTACCATACATCAATGCAGATCTTATAGCTGTACGGTAGAATTTTTCTTTCAACGGTATGGGAGCTTTGCGATAGCAAAGGACCTTCGTAGTTTGCTTCCATTTCATCTAACCCGTTTTTATCGTACGATTAACATCTTCGTCGCAACCTTCTCTTTTGAAGGATTGAACCAAGATATTTAAAATGCGGGTTTTGAAGTATTAATCCTCCTTACAAGTTAATTCCTAAATGTTAAATTTTAATATTAACAAAACGGTAACAATACTAAATGTTAAAAATAATAAATAATTTACGTATAAAATAAAAAGATATAGAATCCAATTATGGTAAAACAAAATTGAAGGATTTTAAAATTAAATATAATCAGAATTTTTATGAATGAAGGTTGAGCTGGGCCGACATAGATCGGTCCAATTTCTTACATATATTTTGCCTCTCATGGTCATGGCGATCCACGACATTGACCAATTAAGCCCATAGAGACGTATCGTTATTGTTATTATTGTAAAATTGATAGCGTATATAGAGAGGGAATGTTGCCCGTTTTATTATATTCACAAAAGACCAGACACAAAAATGGCCACAAAGAACGTATAATTGTAATGGAAGGCACATGCGTATTATTGTCTATTATCGTTATTTTTGTAAGAGTTTTAATATTAAAAAAAGTAATTGGAAGGATGGACGAGGAACAAGGGAACATGAATCCAACGATCTTACGTAATGTGCACGTCAACCCACCATTACCCTCTTGTCAATTTCCACGTGTCTATCTAACATTCCCCAACAAATAAGGTTTTTAATACGAATAATTGATTTTTCATTACATTTTTTTTTTGATAATCCGGAAGTTCACCGGGCCTTTGGCCCAACTACATCTTCCAGAGGACCGGGACAGCTCATGTGAAAACCCCTCCCCAACCAGAAATCGAACCGCCAACCTCTGAATGCTTTGCATTCACCTGCTAACCACTCGCCCACAGACTGTTGGGTATTTTTCATTACATTTAAACAAAGTAATTTGTAATTTTTTTTCTTTTCTTTTAAAAATTATGCACTAATTGTATTTCTACGAATGTTCAGGGTGATTCATGTATGAATTGTATGCATGTATGTATCGAAATTTAATTGTTGTTTTTAACCATATATGATCAAATTAAACTCGAATATGCCATTTCTTACCAAGAATATATCCTATTTATTTTTCTTTATAAAAAAAAACAAATCTGCCTTCTCATGATCAAACTTGGAAACGAAGCAATAATCAAAACTAACAACAAATGCTTGTTTAACTCATGAATCGTATAATCCAAATTTGGACAGTTAAACCGATAAAAGAGGAGCGCGAAATATTTGTCATATCTCGAATTTGCATTTTAAATTTGAATAAAGATCATATTTTTCAAATCATATGGTTATTCTTTTATCCTGAGATTAATTTGGACCTCAGTACAGGATATTCGATTACCGGAAAAAAAATCATGAACCAGATTGACTTGTGTAAACGACAGAGCTACGCATAAACATAATCCCTCCTCTCTCCTGGCGTAAACAAAATATTTTACGACGCTAATAATCTAATTGCGAGGGTATTAAGAAAATTAATCACTCCAAATAGTTAATTAGCATCTTAAAATGACCTGCACCAATAGGCTTGTTCCTCGTATGAACTAGAATAAAATTAAAAACTATTAGATCACGCAAGACAACTGTTTTTTCAATAAATAAATTAAATACACAAGAATATTTATATATATATAGGTTACCCAAAATATATATATATATATATATGTGGGCAGAATGGTCCACCACATGCTTAGCATCTTCGGACATAAGTCGCACAACTTGAGGTATCTTCCTCGCTTGTTTAGTTATTAAACTAACAAAATTAAGACTGTAAATTAAATTAAACCCTTTTAAATTAATCGATAAATCAAAGTTAGAAATGGTTAGTAATCGGTGGGAACTTCGCTGCCGGTCCATATGACGCAGACTGACGGCGACTTTGTATATAGAATGAGTCGTCTCTCCTTCTCCTTCCATATCTTTCTCTTTCCATTCTTTAATGTCAAACTATTTCATGCTTTCCATTTAATAAAAAAAAAAAATTGGGAAATTTAAGGGAATTAACAAAAAAAAATGAGAGAATAAATTCGTTAAAGCAGGAAAGTCATAGCTACTAGCTAGTGGAAGGGAAGATACTGTTGTCGGCACCAGATCTCTTCTGTCCGAGTGAAGCCTCCCCTCGGGTCGTACTGGAAACCCTGTTTTTCAATCTTCTTGTTCTGGAATCCAAACAAGAAACAAAGGAAGAAGATTTAATACGTTTTTCTTTTTCTGGAGAAGGAAGAGAGAAGGAGATGATGGAGTATGAGAACGGGAAGAGGAGAAAAGGTCGGAACAGACAGAGATTACACGTCCAGTTCTCGTCTGTAAGGCCTTTGATCTTGTGTTTTTGTTCCTTGGTCTTGTTGCTGTTGTACTTATTATCCGCCGACATGATTCCGGCGTTGTCGGTCCGTTCTGGCTCTCTAAGACCGGTCCTTAGGGTTCCGGCTTTGTCGGTCTTATCATCCATCGACTCGATTCAACGCTCCTTTCACGGTGGATTCCCCGAATTGAGAGTGGAGAACAGGGTTCAGTTTCCGGACCATCTCTTGCTGATTCTGTCGAACAAAATCGAGAAGAGTGAAATCCTGGATTGTGTTTACTCCCGTTTAAGCGATGATGCGGATAAACAATCTAGTAAATTTATAGGAAAGGGAGAGACTTTGGTCATGCCCGCGATTTCAATCGATGAGTACAATGAGTTTAGATCCATTGTTCGTTGTCCGAATGCTCCTTTGAACTATTCTGCTGCAGTTGGATTGCAATTTCATGGCGATTTTGTGAAGCAGAAAGGTGGTAGCGACCGTAATGTGACGGTCCATGATTGGGAAAAGGTTGTTTATGAGGCGGTGATCGATGGAAACTCGGCCGTTGTCTTCGTCAAGGGACTGAATCTGCGGCCGCATAAGGAGTCTGACCCTTCTTACTTCAAATGCCGGTTCGGAATTAGGAACCTTAAGAAAGATGAAGGGTTTGTTTTCGAGACCCGAGCTATTGCAGCTGCTCAAGAAGTTGTTCGGTGTGTATTGCCACGGAGTATGATGAAAAACCCGGAAAAGGCTCGGGGGATTCAGGTGAGTGTTGTTCACTCGGAGACCAGGGGAAGAGCCTCACCGCCTTTGCCTTCAGTGGCGAGAATTTTGGATTCTGATTCTAACGGGAAGAGGGTCGGGAGAAAGTATGAGCTCTGTGTCTGCACGATGTTGTGGAACCAAGCCTCGTTCTTACGCGAGTGGATAATGTATCATGCCTGGCTCGGGGTTGAACGCTGGTTCATCTACGACAACAACAGCGATGACGGGTTACAGGATGAGATTGAACGGCTAAACTCGGAGAACTACAATGTGAGCAGACATGTCTGGCCATGGATCAAGTCCCAAGAGGCCGGCTTCTCTCACTGCGCGCTTAGAACGAAAGGCGAGTGCAAATGGGTCGGGTTCTTTGACGTCGACGAGTTCTTTTACTTCCCTTCTCGGCACAAACTGGGTTTACCCATTGAAAATGCGCTGAGGACGCTTGTCGTGAATTACTCGTCGTGGGCACTGGTCGGAGGGATCAAGACAGACTGTCACAGCTTCGGCCCATCGGGTCTGGACTCGATCCCGCCACGAGGTGTGACAGTTGGATACACATGCCGGCTCGTAAGCCCGGAGAGACACAAGTCTATAATACGACCGGACATGCTGGCGAGCTCGCTTCTGAACGAGGTGCATCACTTTCAGGTGAAGGAAGGAGTCGGGCATGTAAAATTACTGGAAAGCACTGCGAAGATGAACCATTACAAGTACCAGGTCTGGGAAACGTTCAAGGCCAAGTTCTACAGAAGGGTGGCGACATACGTTGTGGACTGGCGAGAGAACCAGAACCAAGGGTCCAAGGACAGAGCCCCCGGGCTCGGGACAGGTGGATGCGCATGCCGGCTCTTAAGCCCGGAGAGACACAAGTCTATAATACGACCGGACATGCTGGCGAGCTCGCTTCTGAACGAGGTGCATCACTTTCAGGTGAAGGAAGGAGTCGGGCATGTAAAATTACTGGAAAGCACTGCGAAGATGAACCATTACAAGTACCAGGTCTGGGAAACGTTCAAGGCCAAGTTCTACAGAAGGGTGGCGACATACGTTGTGGACTGGCGAGAGAACCAGAACCAAGGGTCCAAGGACAGAGCCCCCGGGCTCGGGACAGAGGCCATCGAGCCACCGGACTGGAGCCGCCGGTTCTGCGAGGTCTGGGATACCGGTCTGAAGGATTTGGTTATCTCTAACTTCGCCGATCAGGTTACCGGTTATCTCCCCTGGCAACGGTTTGATCGTCAGTAGATGTTGTTCGGCATGTACATTTTACATTGACGACACATGGAAGCTATAGAATCTTTCATTCTTTTGATACAGATTCTAGCTAAATCTCTGTTTTTTTTTCGCGGTTTTGGATGTAGTTGTCGGGGGTTGGTTACAGCTACAGAGATACGACACATGTAAATTGCGTGACACTTTGAAATCGATTCTTTCCTTTTTCGTATATTTTCATGTTATTCGATCCTCGTTCGTTAGAATCCATGGATGGATCAGTGTGAATACAATCTCAGAACACGAAAAGCATCGATCGATCTCCAGAATCTCCAACTCACATGATCTGGAATTTTCCAGACAAAAAAAAAAGAGGGATTGAGTTGTAAGAACGAGACAAGTTCCAACGAGGTGGATCAGACAAAAAAAGAGGGAAATTATTTGATACCATAAGTTGGAGTTTCATCATAAGAATCCTGCAAGCAATTGGACTGCCTAATCGGTTTGTAAGATGGATCAGACAATGCATAACAACAACCAAGTTCTCGATCGCTGTTAATGGAGAATCTGCGGGGTATTTTTCGGGAGGTAGAGGCCTTCGTCAAGGGGACCCACTATCCCCTTACCTATTTATACTCGCAATGGAGATTCTTTCAAGGATGTTAGACGAGTCCGCTCTTTCCGGAAGACTCACCGCTCATCAGGGTTGTATGGATCCCCTGATCACCAACTTATCATTCGTAGATGATGTGATAATTTTTTCGGCAACAACCACTGAATCCATTACTGAAATAAAAGAAGTGATACAACAGTTTGAGAGGTACTCGGAGCTCAAAATCAATCATAATAAGTCTGATTTTTTTATTAGTGGTGTCTCTGAGCAGGAAGCAACAGATTTAGCAACCATTTTGGGTGTCCGACAAGGTTCATTACCAATACGCTATCTTGGAGTACCTAAGTCCATGGAAACTGTCAAAGCAAGACTATCAGCCCTTGATCAAACGAATAAGCTCCAAACTCCAATCTTGGACGACGAAATTCCTCTCATATGCGCGAAATGTACAACTTATATCCTCTGTCATATATGGTTTAGTGAACTCATGGTATGCTGTGTTTTTGTTCCCAAAATACTTAATAAGACAGATTGATGGAATGTGCGCCAAGTTCCTATGGAAGTCAAACGCTATGGGAGGAGGTGCACACAGAGTCATATGGAGTGCTATATGTCTCCCAAAAAATGAAGGTGGTCTGGGCCTTCGGAAGCTAGCCGACGTCAATCTCACAGCAAGATTCAAGCTGGTTTGGATTCTCTTTGCCAAATCAGGCTCGCTTTGGGTAGCTTGGATACGGAAGCATATATTCAAGAGAAGGTCATTTTGGACAACTAATCCATCACCTCGGCATAAGGATCAAGCAAGGCAATTCCTCAAGAAAAAGATTGGCAACGGAATCGATACACACTTTTGGCTTGATAATTGGACGGAACTTGGGCCACTAATAGAGTACCTCGGAGACCGAGGACCATGCCAACTGCGTATCCCCCTACACGCAACAGTCAACGTCGCAACGCAAGGGAACAGATGGTCTCTCCCACCGGTATGATCAGACAGAGCTCAACGTCTACAACAAATCCTAGCCACCACGGCAGAACCGGCACTGGACAAGGGACCAGATAAGATGCTATGGAAACATGACCCTGGTACATTCAAGGAGAGCTTTAGCACAGCGCATACTTGGAGGCAGTTGAGGTCACCATCACCGGCAGTTCCATGGGAAAAAATCATATGGTTTAAGCACACGATTCCGAGGCACGCTTTTGTGCAATAGCAAGCTTTCTTGGACAGACTACCAACCAGAGACAGATTGCACGGATGGGGTATACAATCTGTAGTCCAATGTACGCTCTGTACCGTAGACGACGAGACGCACCAGCACCTTTTCTTCGAATGCTCCTAAAGCTCAAGGTTATGGGTACACTATGCGAGTAGGATGCGGGCTGGACCACCTGTACAACTCTCTCAAATTCCCCGTTGGATCGAAACTGTAGGTCACGAGCAGCAACAAACAACACTAGCAAAAATCACATTGCAATCAGCGATCTATCTTATTTGGCAAGAGCGGAACAACCGTATCTTCCGCTCTCAGCTCACAGACATTGCTATACTCAGACACAAATTCGACCGACTTGTTCGGAACATCATTCTATCCGGCCAAAAGGGAAGTCAACAAGAAAACCTCCTACTACAAGATTGGTTCTACCTAACAAGACCATCTTGACCTTTTTTTTGGAGTTTGACGTTTTTTCTAGAAAATCCACCTGGAAGTTCTACTTTTTGTTATGCGGTGCTAAACCTTTATGTAATTTACAAACTGATCCCTTTTTAAGTAAATAGATTCACATTTCATCAAAAAAAAAAGTTCCAACGAGAAACAGTTCGAGATCGGTCAGAGAATCATAGGGCGGAGAACGAGGGGTACGGATCAGTTCTTTGACTTGGGCTTTGTTAATTGGACAGGTGATGATGGGCCTTCCATGAAGCCCAATAAGATCCAAAGCTCGGACAACGCGAGGAACCCTCTGAGAGATTGAGGGCTAATGGTCTAATAATTTGATTGAACCCCTAATGATAGACAAAATATGGAAATATATATATATATATATATATATATATATATGTAATTTAGATATGATTTATGGTAAATTTGTGTATTTTTATACTTATTTTTTCTATTACAAATCCTTGTGTCATGCATGTGTTTTTTTGTCTCTTTAAAACTCGAGAAACCTCAGGTCATATCGTATGTATTTTATATCATCGAACGCCTCGAATCAAATGGCTTGGAATATCAAATCATGGACACGGTTGATCATATGCGACGAACAATATATATATTTTCAAACGTGATATCATGGATACCACACACATGTCCCGATAATAAAACAAACAAGTACCTCAATTGAATAAGTGACTCGTCAATGTTATATACATATATATATATATATATATATATTTCACAAATCTTGGTGGTTGATATCTATATATTTACTTTCTGTGAGTTTTTATCTTACCGAAATAATATGTTATTTATTTTCTTCATTTTTTTTATGTAAATCGGATTTCTTTTATAAGATTGTAATGTCAGTGCCTTAAATCTCGTTCAAGAGACTCTGAGTGGTAAGGAGGTTTTGGAAAAGCAGAATACTCTATCTGAAACGGAGGCTTAGTGCTCGGGTAATTAAAGCTGAGTCAGCATCTTCTCTGAGTATATCACCAGAGTTATTGGAATATACCCAAAAGGTTGTAGTCTTACAGATTTAAAAAAAAAAAAAAATCTCTCGATTGTAATCGCTTTGATCCTTGATTCAAGAAATAAATCCTCTCTCCCCTCCGAGACGTAGGTTCGATCACAACGATCGATCCGAACTCGTAAATCTCCTGTGTCCTTTATTTTTCGTCTTTGATCTCTGTTCATCGAGTTCGTGCGAGATTGAGTGAGGAGAGTTCTTCGGTGAGAAGTGCGATACTCTCAAATTCTCTCGGAATTAGTACAAAGATAATATAATTCTCATGCGTCGGATGATTTTTTTTTTATTATAAAAAAATATTGAGGGTCCAAACAATTTAATATTTTTTTTATTATAGTTATAATTGATAATATGAAGTAGTATTTCTCTTTTGTTTTTGTTTATAGATTTGGAGGATTTGCCATGACAATGCCATCAACCAATCAAGAGGCGAAAGTTGGTAGAAGTGTCACTGTCCTCCACCTTTGTGCACACTACCCCACAAGCTCAACGCTTTTCTATTTGGCTTTTCGTTTAATCATATAATAAGCTATAAAACACATGAAATTTTTAAACGGGACGAAATCTTTTTTTTTTTTTTGATATATTGGGGAACTCCGTGACTACCTACCCTTACAAACGGATACGAACTGACCACCACCCGCACCTAACAGTCCCATGGACCTCAATCCGCCGGACCTGGCCACCAGACGCGCCTAACGCTCGGACCGTAGTTGGGCTTAGACGCCTGCGAGTCAAACCTCAAGCCCACGCGCACGAATTTGCAACACACGCGTAGGAGTTAAATCAGTCCGTTATGTTATAAATGAATCGGAGGATTCTTTCGAACGAGCGCTGCTACCGGACGATAGAGAAGAAGGGTAATAAAGAAATCGAGAGAGAGAGAGAGAGAAGTGATTGCATGCATTAGCTACAGAGAGGACGACGACCTAACACATTGAACGGTCCATGTTTTGTGATTTTTCTTGATAAAATTTAACATTAAACCCCACTATATAACCCTATTGGGTTTTCTCGTACCTTGCACTAACATCTCGTCAACTAGTCATAATCCATAAACCACATATAACTTATAACGCCGCAATTATAACACACTTTTTTTTTATAAACTACGATGTATGTGAATATATATATATATATATATATATATACACACACACGTTTATGTTGATGTTGATGCATACACGTTTAGAGTCCTATTTGTCTATATGTTATCTATCTGAATATATTATTAAAAAAATTCAAACATCACACATGCTTGTTCTATATGAGTTATATTTACGTTGACTGAAGTTTTAAAACAAGGAAAAGAATGATGATGAACCATGATACGACGATGATGTGATCATCTGATATAAGACCACTAACCCATGTCCTTTCCATTCGGCTCATCGTCATGGCCACATCGACAGTTCCCATACATATATATAACCAAGTAATATTATATATATATATATATATCAAATAATAATGTTCCTTAAAAAAGGTGGAAAAAAAGTTTGATAGATGATGATTCCTCACTGTTATTGAGTTGAAATAAAGCATAGTTGGTGAGGCGTATATATATATATAGAGAGACTAGAGAGAAGAACCCCCGAGATTCAAACAACACTGCCTAGAAGCTTTTTCGTCGTAATTACCAACAAAATTGAATTAAATATCGCTGTGTTTTTTTTTTCAGCTTGAACAGCTTTTGAATCATTTGTCTCTTCGTTTTAGGGTTATTTGTTCGGGACGATGGATCATGTGTGCTCGCAGTGCCACAACAATGGATCCTGTCGGAGCGACGGCCGAGATGAGACTGGCATATGGCTATTCGGCGTCCACGTGTCACCTTCTTATTCGTCTCCAGTTAGGAAGTGCGTCAGCATGCCCAACCTGACCCACCTCAACGGCGGGGG